CTGGAAATTCTTTTCAAATTCTACTCTTGACTTGACTGGAGCATCTTTTGCCAGACTTAGCATTTAGAATTCAGTCCCTATTGAGTGATATGCCTATAACTATGTAAGGATTTTATTTCACAAAATAATATCCTTACATTGGCCTTGATAAAGTCTATCAGAAGATGAAACTCATCAGCTAAAATAAGTTTACTTTTTGTCTTTATTCTTATTGTCATGTTACAAATATACTCTGTGAAATTTTTACACACACACACACACACACACATATATATATATATATATATAAATAAATAAGAGAACATTTTATTTATTATGTATATATATATATATATATATTTATTAAGATATTGGTTAGTGAATATTCAACAGAATCTTTAGGCTTTGTATATTTTCATATCTTCATATACATCAGTTTTTACCAATTTTCCATTTATACAAGTTTGTTTAAAGATTAACAAAAGTTTATTAAGAATATTTTAATATTTATTTTGGATAATTTTTTGGGTTTCCTGTATTTGTGTGTGTATATATATATATATATATATATATAGTTACGGTAAAAAATCCATTGGTATATAATCCAAGTGGATCCTAATAATATATTAAAACTGATCAAAAAAAAAAAAAAGAGCTCAATGTATTTATTATTACAGAGCAAATAATAAAATCCCAAATCACCTCATATGGGGAATAGCCTATTTCGGCAGACAAAGATATCAGTCGTCTGTTGTATCAACCCCAGTATGGAATGAGTGCAAATCAGAAATAGAAATTTAACTGTGAATGTTAAAAAAAACACCAGCCAAAAAACTAATTCAGAATTTATCCAGTTTAATGTTTCAGTCAGATGAAAGGCATGAGACAGATCAGGGGAGGGTAGAAGGTATTTGTCTTAAAGAGAAGTAGTTTTATAAAATTAAACCCTTATGACAATAATTGCATGAAGAATGAAATATTAATTTAAAATTAAAAGAGGAATAAAAAGAAGTCTAAAAATAAATTTAAAATATATAGATAAAAGGATGTAAGGGATTAATAGAAAGAGGGTTGGGGAAAGTTTATAAATATAGTGTAAAGGGGTATAGAGGTGGGGAAATAAAAATTAGAATTAGTTATACTTTCAACATTTGAAGAGTTAAAGGGGGAGTGAATATTATGGAAATATACTAGCTAATTAAGTTAAACTTTTATTAAAAAAAATAGATTAAAATATAAATATAAAAAAGAGTGTCATCGGGTGAGCTTATTTGGTTATGAAAGAGTGTGTGGGTGGTGTAATGAGCAGTGGCTCAGAATGTGAAAGTTGAGTTCATCACATTCACATAAGCACAAATACTCTAGGGAAAGGTATGGATCCATATTTACTCCCCACCTCATCTACAAGTAAATACAAAACAGACTGGGACCTATAGCCTTGGTTGGCAACCAGTATACTACAGAAAGTAGCAGTAGCCTACTGTGGGAATTTTTCTGTTTTTCCTGTTTCCCTGATAGCTTTAATCTCCAACTATTCAAATGTAATGTCAATCAACATCTCCAGATGCCTTGATCTATCCCCCCTATCCTTCTCATCCTTTTCTCTATCACTCCTCTTTGATCTTGCTCCAACTCTCTGTAACCCCTTTCATGCAAGTGGCTTCCTGCCTTGCTTGGGGTAAAATGCTTAAAAAAATAGTCAATTATGAATTGTAAATAGTCACTGGATCGAACCAATGTCGGTGTGATCCAATGACTAGACCCAAGAAGTTGTGAGTTCAATACCTGGCTACAGCAGTGGTGAACCAAAACTTGGAGAGTTAAAGGGAAATAACATATATCCAGAAGAGGCATGTCACGTGGACCTAGAACAATCTACCCTGATAGATGAAATAAATGGTTTGGTTCAAAATTCCAATCATCTGAAGAAGGCCGGAGTGTACAACAGCTAAAAGATTGTGAATATGGCAACAAAGATGAGGATAATAATCCAGATAATGTATACAATGTGAATTGCTTTCTATTGTCCTCCTGTTTCTTCTTGCTCTTTTGTAAAGTTTCTGTTTTTAAATTCTATATCCTGTAACTCCTTGTGTTTTGGCTTTACTGCCACCTTGTTTGGGGGTGAAATATATGTGTCTATAAACAAAGGTCTGTAATGTAATCAATCCTGACTTGACATCTCAACTTCAGTCACTTTCTCACTGATGGGACGTGGCTTTCCTCTATCATTTTGACAGATATTTTCATGGCAAATGTTCTGTGGAGATTTTCTCCTTTGTGCTTCAACTGCATGAATTTAAGCATGCTACTAGTTTGGCAATTAGGTCTCACCTTTTTACTGTTGAAATATACATGTCTATATAGAAGTGTTGTTTATACAGAATGATAGTATTGTAGCGAGAGACAAAAAGTGATCTCCCCTTGACCAAATAAAAGTTAATTATAAATATTCACAAGAATAAAATTGACCTGACAAGACCTGCATGAGAGATTGTTAGGCGGGAATGTTTTTGTTCCATGGAGTCATAGAAACAGGATGCATACAATTCAGGCTCATGCCTAACCAAACAGATAAGTACACCAATTCTTATTTTGGTACATAGTCTTTTGAAAGTAGATACAGGCTAACTTTGTATTAAGAATTTTGAAATATATATATATATATATATTTTCAAGTATTTTTATATGAAGAATTTTGTGTTTTATATGAACTTTTCATGTATTTATGTTGTCATATGTTTGATCCATTTTAAATGAGATCAATGTTTAATATCCCACACACCATATTTGGTGACAAGGACAAACAAAACAACAAACATATTTCAATAACCACCATATTTGGTGACCACACACAGAAAAAAAAAAGTTTGATAACCACATATTTGGTTAATTTCAATATATATATATATATATATATATATATATATATAAAACAAATAATACAAAAAAGTAAACAAAATGGAGAAAGAGTCCTATGAGCCAAGAGTCCAAAAAATAACAATTAAGACACTTGAATTCATGCAGACTAACATTACCAGTTGCCTCACAATTATTGAATCTGTTTTATCTAAAACACGTAACTTCACAAATCACCAAATTTGATAATTTTTTTGCATCACTACCTCTGTAAATAGTGGCAAAAATATCTAGCAACATTCTGGATACTCACAGCTACAATGGGTTAAAAAGACTTTGAGACACACGAACAAAGATAGAATGCTAGATAAATTTATGTCCGCCTCTATTATTACAGGTCGACCATCAATTTACTTTCAGGAAATATTGTTTATTGTGAAATGACTGGAGATAGACAATGTCATAGTGTTACACAAATTTTTACAAGCATTATCAGCTTCCATCACCTCTGTTTTAGCAACACAAAAAGATTTAAACCCAACCAGACTGGGGCAACTGGTGGACAAATTAATGCCCTTAATACAAGGCACTGCTAAAATAAACATGTCTAACCAAATCCAGATGAAAGAAGTGATTACTAAAACCTCAGCAGTAGAAAACTTATGGAGCATGTTGCTCAACTGCTTTCTTGAGAGCCTGTACTTTATAATGCTCCATAAGTTTTCTATGGGGTTGAGGTCAGGAGATTGGGGCAGCCATGTCATAACACTCACCTACTTCTCATCAAAGTATTCCTTCATCAATTTTGATTTGTGACAGGAAGCATGATCCTGCATAAAAATGAGCTTGGTGGGGTCGATTTGCACCTTTTCAGCAGAAGGGAGCAGACAAGACTCTAAGATTCTCTTGTACTGCTCACTCCTGAGGGTCTTTTCAATAGGTTTTAAGAAAACAGTTCCATGAAAAGAAATGTATCCCCAGAATATTATATTGAAGGGATGCTTGACAGTACTTACTGCTAACTTCAAAGAGCTTTCAAAGCTTCTTCGTCAGATTTTAGATTGCCTAACCTTTGAATTTAACTCAACTTTCATTTCATCGGAGAAGAGAACATTTAGTAAAAAAATCAGGTGAGTCACTTTTATCAAACAGCACTGTATGTCCGCACAAACATACATATGCACAAAAGCTGTGAATCATCTGCCATGTATTCAATTGTGAAAGCAGAATAACATATCGTATTTTTATTACTTCAAAATTCCCAAGAAAATTAAATTTCTGCATTAAATAACCCATAAGAAGTGGATATAATTTTTTTTTTTTCATTTCCCCCCAAGTTAGACAATAAAGCCACTAGGATGCAAGGAGTTACTGAGTGTTAGAAAGCATGAGAAAAAACTACTATTAAGGAGAGAGGACAATAAAAGAACAAGGATTAAGAAGACAAGATAACGATTGACATTGCATAAAAATCTTTGAAGGTCATAGTTAAAAGGAAGGCAAGAAGCTGGAAAAGAGTTCCACAAGAAATTTCTTTAGAAATTCACATATGTGCAAATACCCTTGGAAAAAGTATGATTACACTTCTTCTCCCTCCACCTATGGGTTAATTAGTAGGACATGAATCAGTAAATCATTATTATCACAAAAAAATTTTTTACAATATATATATATTCTTGCTTTAAATAACCTGCAAATGTTTAAGCTGTAAAAAACAAATCAATCTTTTTTTTTTTTTCTTTTTTTTTTTTTAACTCCTGTTTGTACTCTTTTCTTTCTTATTGTTCCCAATTTGCTTTCTTTCTTTTGGACAAAATATAGCACATATTCATTGAAATTTCTTATTCAGTGCCTGGTTGGATCATAAATAAAGCTTGATTGAAATAAATACAGGTATCAAGGAGGAGTGGAAGTCGAGATTTACACACATGGAAACATTCTTAATAATTCTCTCAAACAGAACTACTTTTATTTTTATATTTTTTTAGTTTTGTGTTTTATGAATGGTGTTATAAAACATCAGAAAATCAATCAAAAATGAATAAATGATAATAAAAAGGCAAAGATATATCCAAAAGAAAGGGTAATAATTTTGCTTCAATCTATACTGACCAGGACAAGAAAAAAATGGAGGGGAAAAAAAATATGGAAGAAGATGAAATCTAGGAAAGAAAAAGATAACATTGAAGAAGAAAGAAAAATGTGGAAAAAGAAAAGTGTACAAGAATAAGAAAAAATATGAAAGAAAAAATGCAAAAGGAGATGAAACATTGAAGAAAAAGAGAAAAAAATGTGTATAAAGAGGGAAAATTTGAAAGAATAAAAAGAAAGAATGTGAGATGAAATGCCAAAGGAAAATAGGAAAAAAATTGAAGAAAAGGAAGGCAAAAACACTGATGAAGAAAGAGTGAAATGTGAAAGGATAAGAAAAAATATGAAAGAAGAAATGTCAAAGAAAAGAAATACGAATAGAGAAATGATGAAGCAAAACAATATTGAAGGAAAAATATACAAGAAGTTGAAAAATATGAATGAAGATATACAGAAGAGAAGGGAGACAAATCATTGAAGAAAAGATGAAAATTTGAGGGAGCTTAAAGGAAGGTGAAATATTGAATAAAACAAAGAATAAGAATATGCAAAAAGAAAAATGGAAAATATGAATGAGAAAATATAGAAGTAAAATTTATATGGAAAATGAGTAAAAAAATAAAGAATAAAATTAATCAAAATATGGAAAAAAATGAGTAAAAAAAAAAGAATAAAAATGCAAAAAAAATCAAAATATGAATGAAAAAGAAAAAAAGAAATTAAATGGAAAATGAATGTATGGAAGAATTTTCTTCTTTGAAAAAAAAAAACAACACTGTATGGAAGACAAAAAATAAATATAAAAACATATGAAAGAATAAAAATAATGAAAAAAAATGAAAATAAAGAAAAGAAATTGGAAAAAGGGAAAGAAAAAAAAAAAAAAAAAAAAAAAATGGAAATGTCACAAAGAAATGGAAAAGAATTTTCTTCTTTGAAAAAAAAAACAACACAAAAAATGGAAAGACAAAAAATAAATAGAAAAACAAATGCGGGAAAGGAAAGAGAAAGAAAGGAATAAAATAATCAAACTACGGGAAAAGAAAAAAAGATTGACAAAGCGGAAAAAAGAAAGACAAAACCTAAAGACAAATGCGGGAAAAAGAAAGGAAATGGAAAGGAGAGAAAGACAAATAGGAAAGGAAATAAAAAAAAAAGAGAAATATTAAAAAAATTACGTAAAGGAAAAGAGGATCACAAAGAAATTGTGGAAAAGAAAGACAAAGAGAGCATTAATGTGGAAAAGGAAAGAAAAAAGACAAACGTGGAAAGGAAAGAGAAAGAAAAAATGCGGGAAAGGAAAAAGAAAGACAAACTGTGAAAGGACAAAGGAAAGGAAAGAGAAAGACAAACAAGGGAAAGGAAAAGAAAGACAAACTGCGGGAAAGGAAAGAGAAAGACAAACTGCGGGAAAGGAAAGAGAAAGACAAACTGCGGGAAAGGAAAGAGAAAGACAAACTGCGGGAAAGGAAAGAGAAAGACAAACTGCGGGAAAGGAAAGAGAAAGACAAACTGCGGGAAAGGAAAGAGAAAGACAAAGACGGGAAAGGAAAGAGAAAGACAAACTATGGGAAAGGAAAGAGAAAAGACAAACTGCGGAAAGGAAAGAAAGACAAAGACAAAACGGGAAAGGAAAGAGAAAGACAAACTGCGGGAAAGGAAAGAGAAAGACAAACTGCGGGAAAGGAAAGAGAAAGACAAACTGCGGGAAAGGAAAGAGAAAGACAAACTGCGGGAAAGAGAAAGAGAAAGACAAACGGGAAAGGAAAGAGAAAACAAATGTGGAAAGGAAAGAGAAAGACAAACTATGGAAAAGGAAAGAGAAAGAAAAACTGCGGGAAAGGAAAGGAAAGACAAACTGCGGGAAAGGAAAGAGAAAGACAAACTATGAAAAACTGCGGGTGGACAAACTGCATGGAAAGGAAAGAGAAAGACAAACTGCGGGAAAGGAAAGAGAAAGACTATGAAAAATGTGGAAAGGAAAGAGAAAGACTATGAAAAATGTGGAAAGGAAAGAGAAAGACTATGAAAAATGTGGAAAGGAAAGAGAAAGACTATGAAAAATGTGGAAAGGAAAGAGAAAGACTACGAAAAATGTGGAAAGGAAAGAGAAAGACTACGAAAAATGTGGAAAAGAAATACAATGAAAAATATAGACGGAGGAGAAAAGCTAGAATCCTCAAAAGATTTCTAACAAATGTGCTTTTTGATTATTTTAGACTCTATGTCCAATTCCAAATTGTGTCTATTTATCAAGAAACAGGAATCTGCAACATCCGATCTTTTGCCAGCCAAACTGTATGCCATGTGGGTATTTGCAAATGATTAAAAAAAAAATCCCCCAAAAATATCAGAGCAAAAGAAACTTAGAATAAACAGTAGATAGTTTAGTAGAACTTTATAGGCAGGCGGAGTTTAGAATTTCTATTGTAAATTTGAGACTGTAGGAAGAAGCAAGTCAAGTCTTTGTGGATATTAAATAATTGCAACTTTATGAGAGTGTTTTGGTGTGGCTCACTCCTAAACAAGCACATTTCTCAAAGAAAGTCTGACACTGATCAGATTCACTTTGCTATTTTTTGCCTTTTTTTTTTCTTTTTTGAGTCACTTTGGGATCAGTGACAGACCCTCCACGTCAGGCAGTCACAGCACAACGCAAAATAAAAATCCTCAGATAAAATACCTGATAACTGAGTTTGTTAATGTAACTCGTCATATTTGAAGGCAAAGATTAAGTAGAAACCAGGAAACAAACAGTAAAAATGAACATTGTTTAAACCAAAAATATCAGGAATCTATTTCTAAGGCAGTGTGGGTGCCATTTCGTATTATATGGGAAAATGCCAACTACCAGATAATTCTGAAATCTCAAAAGGCACTGTGAGAGTTTAGTGTCTGAAATCTGGCATTATTTTAAAGTAAGACAAGAAGAACAAATATTATTGCCAGAACATATGTTATTTGTATAAAGTTTGTGTATTCAGTCTTTATTCAATAACAAGATTTGATAAAGTTTTTATATTCACTAATTCAATGCTACAAGATGCATTTTATGTCATGTTGTATGTTGCTTCTGACATGTACTTATATTTCACAGTTTTATTTGAGTCAATATAAGTAATTATAATACTTTACTAGATTCAATTTATGCCTTGCAGTTGTTCGAACTCTGTTACAAATAACCAAGAAATACACAAAAATCGAAAGACATAAGCAATGAATATGTCTTTTTACCAGACATATTCAACCTTAATGGTAAATCAATCCTGAGAGAATTAGAAGTTCTACCAGAATTCATTACTGGTGGACAATCTATTTTTTTCTTTAAAGCATTTCACCCCTAGCAAGGTGGGAAGCCACTTGCATGCAAAGGGTTATAGAGGATTTTGAGCGAGAGCAGGTAGGAGTGATAGAGGAAAGGATGAGGAGAAGGATAGTGGATAGATCAAGGCAACTGGAGATGTCAATTGACATTACATTTGAATAGTTGGAGATTATAGCTCTCAGGGAAACAGGAAAAGGGAAGGGAGTTCCACAGGCGAGAGGTGCGAGATATGAAGCTATTGGAGTAGAAGAGACGGCTACATTTAACAGTTTCAACAGTGAAAGGGTGAGAGTGGGATGCCAGCCTTGTAGGACACTTGAATTCACGAAGTCTGGAAACCAGCGAAAGCAGCTCATCGAAGCAATTACCATGAAAGTATTTATAACAAAGACAGAGAGAGGTGATGGCACGTCCGTGAGAGAGTGATTGCAGACAAGATGCCAGGTCAGAGCCAATTATATTGCATATCCGTCTCTGGATTTTATCAAGAACCCTGAGGCAAACAGTAGGGGCTCCAGGCCATATATGGCAGCAATACTCCATGCAAGGGTGAATGGTTGATTTGTAAGATTTGAAGGATCGATTATGGGGAGAAAAATTTCCTGGCATGGCACAGGGAGCCAAAACATAATATATGCAAATGACACTGTGTTAATAGCAGACAGAGAAAGGAAATATAGAAGCAAGGACTAAACATCAATTGTAAAAAGTTAGAATGTTAGGCTGTTCCATTTGCTGACAGCCAAACATGCAAATTACAAATTGGAGATCCCAAAATGAAGCAAGTACAAAAATTTACGTATCTGAGATGTGTTTTAACATAGGATGCAAATACAACATCAAAATCTGAAGGTATATCGGGATAGCAAAAAGTGCCTTCTAAAACTTAAGCAAAGTATTAAGAAAGAATATTGAACTGTTATGTAATATCAGTCTTCCTATATGGTAGTGAATACTGAACAATCTTCTCACAGATGAAGAAAAGACTTTAGGTAATAGAAATATGGTTATACAGAAGGATGCTAAGAATGCCATGAACTGAATATGTGAGCAGCAACAAAGTTTTATCAAAAATAATAACAAAAAGGTACTAAATTTCTAGGATACATAATGAGGAAAGAGAGCTTAGAAAATTTGACACTCACAGGACATATTAAATGCAAAAGAAGCAGAAAAGCTGCAGAAAATCTACCTTACAAGGATATAAATGGATGGTGGAACAGGAGAGATAGCAAAAAGACAATTTACTAAGAGCTAAAAGGGAGAAGAAATTGTGGAGAGCCATGATTGACCATGTCCCTTCAGGACATGATACATAGAAGACTAAAGGCAACTTGTTTAGAAGGAAAAATCTTGAGACTTAACAGTTCTAAATAACATGGTAGTCTGTGTTCTGTAGGGGGAATCTGAAGTAAAACCTTGAATTGACACCTAAAAAAATAATAGGGCAGATTGGGTTCATTAGCCTTGGTAGTGCAACCACTCTATGAGAAGGAAAACTTTGAATTCAAACCCTCATAAATAATAGTGCAGACTGGGCTCTTAAGCCTTGGTAGGACAACCAGTTGAATAGAAGGAAAAGTCTGAAATTTAAACCCTCTTAATGCAGTAATCTAGGCTCTTTAATTTTGGTAGGGGCAGCTATTCAAAGCGAAGAAAACTTTGAATTCAAGCCTTAATAAATAATAGGGCAGACTGGGTGCTTTAGCTTTGTTAGGATAACCAGCCTAGGAGAACGACAACTCTGAGATCAAAAGCAGCCTAGGTGAGGGAAAACTATGAAATCAAAAAAAACAGCTTAGGAGAAAGACAATTTTGAAATCAAAATCAGCCTGAAGAGTGATGTGCTCCATGTTGACCTAGACACACTTGCTGCTGTTACAGCTGCAGTACATTTGGTATTTCTAAAATCTTAATTATCATGAAGTTAACCGCTGTGTTATTATTAGTATTTTTCTTGTTGGATGATTTATAGCAGTTCCTGTTTCGTCTTTCTGCCTATAAAGCCTTTAAACAGAATTTGAGGATTAATTCCAGAAAGGAGTCTGGATAAGTGAACATACAGTAGTATCATGATGCATGAGAAACATTGACACTGCATCCAACTCCCACCAGCTGTTGGCAGAAAGGCTCGGTAGGTGGGGAAATCATAAATCGAGGTTCCCTGCTTCCTCTTCTGCTGATGTTGTCAGATGAAACCTCTTCCCTGTCTCTTTCCTAAAAGTGTTTGTTAAGCTTCTTAAGACCTGCCATTCTGATCTAATTGTCCTTCTTGAAGACCCTCCTTTGCACAAAACAACAATCTTTTGACAGACATCTTTGCTCCCCACTTCTTTCTCTCCATTTCAAGATTCTTTCTTTATTTAACCATCATGCAGAGAGACATTCATGTACAGGTAAATAAAGCGCTTACACATATCTGTGCTTATAACCATCGGTGTAAAGAGAGCAAGAACAATAAGCCTTTATAAATATGGATTTTCTTAATCTGGTCGAGTTATGATTTACCATCAATTGTTTCATGCTGGAAGAATATCCACTTGCTAGCCATACAATTCATAAATATTGATATGTTTTGAGCTTAAAAGTGACTTCTAAGACTGTACTTGTTTACAGGTATTTATTAGATTAAGCCACCCTAGCTCTCCAGAATCTGCTATACATATCTATGTCTACTATTCACTCATGCTTAGAATATTGATGTCATTGCTATTTACCTTGAGCTCCTTGATAAAATCTAAAGAATCCGCAATATTATTGGTCCTGATCTGGTGTCTTGGCTTCAGTCACTTTCTCAATGCCATAAGATGACCTCTCTATGCCTTTTCTATAAATACTTTCATGGTAATTGTTCAGATGAGCTCTTCACTATTATTTTCTTTAGTTTCTTGTAAATAGTTTTGTAATCATGTTTGTAAATACTCATTGGGGCTAGTTTTTAGAATTGTTGTTTTATTCCCCTCCCTCCACAGACAATGAATTGTAAATATGGGGACAATTTAGTATTTTCATAGAGACAAAGAGTTATTATGGTGGTTGTAGTAAGAAAGGTACGTATGAATGTGTTGTTTTGGTGTAAGGAATATTGTTCATACAATTGGGTCAGTGTTTACGGCTAGCTAAGTTATAGTTAAGACAGAAGAAGACTGTCCTTTCCCTAATCCCCCCTTTCGGCCATGTGCCACATTTCTGTGTATTTTACAGAATAAATATCGCTCTTCACTATGGTACCTAGACTTTATGAATTTAAGTGCAATACTTGACTCACCATGAGGTCTCATCAATATACAGTTGAGTTGGCTGGATGTAACTGTAGATTCTATGCTAACATTTTCTTTTATTGCACTTCTTGCCTGTGGCTCCATGTTTTCCAGCCAACTTTAATCTGCCAAAATTTAAATGCAATGTCAATCACTATCTACTGTCCTCTTGATTACTCTTTTCTCTTTAGTAATGTTTCTGTTCCTAATTCTTCAACACTCAGTAAATTCTTGTCTTAGTGGCTTTACTGCCTTGCTTGAGGTAAAATTGATTTTTTTAAAAAAAGCTATAGGGTGAATTTGCGAAGTGCCTTCATAGCAGCAATTTCACTAGCAAAAGCTTGCTAGGCTAGTATTTTCACTATTGCTCTGGGGAAGATATGGTGAGACACTGACTCACCTGTCATGAACTGACCTACCATCAACTTCTAAGTGACCTATGATGAGTCACTGAAAAGATGTTATGAAATATGGCTCACAATGAACTACATAAAATCAGAAGCTTTCTTATAACAGATATATGCGCTGCATGCATTAAGCTGAAGACAACAAAGTATGAACCTTGAATTAAAACATTAGTAGCAACTAATACGCAGTAACAAGTTTTTCATTAAAAGAATATCAGTAAGTACAGGGGTGATGTATAAATTGATATATAAATTATGCAAAAATGACAATAATACTGACATCTCATTTTAAGATATATTTACCAAAATCACACAAAATATCTTAAAATACTAAAGAGTAAATTTATTCAATAAAACTGCCATTGGCTTCAACCACGGCCTCTAGGTGACTTGGGAATCTCCTGCAACTCTTCTGGATGGTCTCTTTTAAGTTGAGGAATGCTGCCATAATCCTTGCCATCAGTACATATTTTGTGTTACAGGGAGTTTTGTTGTTTTCTTGCTCAACCTTGCCCCACACAGTTTAATAGATATCATCAATGGTATTGTAGTCTGGAGAGTTAGGTTGCCAGATGTAAGGGGGTGCTGTGGTAACAGAAATTGTCTGACAGCTGTAACTGCATTCTCTGGCTTGTGTGGTATGGTGCAGGCTCCTGTTACCAGACATAGGGTCTTCTATCAGCTACCCTCTTGACCTAGGGCAGCACTACCTCCTTAAAGTATTTGGTGTAGGCCTCCATGTTGGGTCTAAGGCCCTCACCAATAGATTTAGGAGTTCTTTTCTTAGAATAATGAGAGTAAGTTTTCCAATCTGTTGTACCTTTGTAATCACCATTAAACTCATCCAACTCTTTCTTAATCTTCCTTATTGTCCTCAGATCTATGCCCAAACACTCTGAAATGTTTGTATTGGAGCTTCTGGCATGAATTCCAAGCAGTACAGAATGCTGTTTCCAAATTTCTGGCAGAGTGCCTAACTGACCCTACTATACTATGCAGTCGACAAACACAATTAATTTAAAATTATAAAATGACAAAAAATTTACCCATCACACCCTGTATATGAATGACCATTTAAAAGTACTTAAAATGACTGGCAACTGTAAAGGTATCTGTGCTATGTGTCTCTGGTAAAAACATGCAATGATAACAGAAAAAATTGCAATATCAGCACTGGTAAAAAATCGTTGCTGAAGACATTAGGTTTATAATACCCAGAAATTCATACACAGATGTCCTCAACAACACATGGCACAGTGGAGAAAGGTGTTAGTTAGATCCAGTGACAGGACCCAAAGAGTGTGAGTTCAATATCTAGTTAAGACAGTGGAGAACTTTCAGAGGGAAATTAGCGGGAGATAACTGATAACTGACATCCATTAAACATGGAACTAGAACAGTCTACCCCAGTGAGCGAAATAAAGGGTTCAGTTTGGCATTCCAACCACCTGAAGAACGCTGGAGCATACAATGACCAAAACATTGTAATAAATATGGTGATAAAGATGAGGACAATAGTCCGAATAATGAACTATAAAGGTTTATTATCTCTGTCCTAGGTAGACTGTTTTAACATAAATATTAAATGGCTGGTTTCTTTTAAGGTATACCCTTGATCAGGTCATATTTCTAATATTCAAGAACTTCGCCAAAGTAGATTATTTACAAAAATATACTTTACATTCCCTGTAACATACTGTTACTGTTCTCTGCTTCAATTTTTTTTTTAAATTTCAGCTCTTGCATTTCAAATGTTGTGACTTTAGAAAAACACAGTAAATATCAATGACCTGAATTTTCTCAAATTTGGCTTTCGTCATCCTTGTTTCTAAATAATGTTATTGAATGTCATAGACTGATGATTACTGATATATCATTGGATAGCAATACAAGAATCCAAACATTTTTGATGGCTGCCAGCAAGTGAAAATGTCCAAGATGCAAATGATGAATTGGAGATGTCAAAATGAAACAAATACAGAAGTTTAATTATCTGGGAAATGCTTTAACAGAGGATAGAAAATGCAACACTGAAATCTGAATAGAAAAAGCAAAATCTCAGAAGCTTAACAAAATACTAAGAAACTCGGAATGAGTGAAGAACTGCTATGTATGAATCTTGAATTAAAACATTACAAAGAACAAGTTTTCTTCATTAAAATATATCTATAAGCTTTTAGAACAATATGACAAATTGGAAAAAAGGTTGTGATGCATTTCATCGGTTAGGATTTCATCAGACTGGGTTTGTTGATATTGTGATGCCTACACATGTGCATGAAATGAGAGATGCTGGTAGTTTCATAATTTTTGAAAGAATATCATTAAGTATATGAGTAATCATTTATGTTTATAAGAAATTTAAATGTACCAGAAATGACCCAGCAACTGTAAAGATTTGGCATCTCTGCTCTTGGGTAAGAGATTACCTCCTTGGATGTAAATAATATCCAACTACCTATGAAACACTTATTTTATTGACGTTTAAGTGTTTAACGCTATCATCGGATTATAGTTTAATAGATAACAATCTTGATGCTCATTCAGGATGTGGGCAATCATGGCTCTCCACAACTTCCTATCTACTGTAGCTGTTAATAAGGTTTTTCTTTTCATAATTACTTCCAGTCCCTACTCTACCATCCATTAACTCAAGCTTATTAGGTAGGTTACTTGTTATTTCTGTCTATATCTCTGAGATGAGGTATTATGATTACTTGTATTATTTACATTATTCAGACTGTTATACTCATCTTGATTGCCATATTCATAACATTTTAGCCATTGTACAATCTACCCCGGTGGATAAAATAAAGGGTTCGGTTTGAAATTCCAATCACCTGAAGAAGGCTGAAGCCTACAACAGCTGAAAGGTTGTGAATATGGCAATCAAGATGAGGATAACAGACTGAATAATGTAAATAATACAAGTACTTGTTGTTTGCCCCTTTTTACCTTCAATATGCCTTGTGGGTGACACATTCTCCAAACCTTATTTTTTCATATGTGTCCCAGAAATTTCAACTTTCTCTTTCTGATTCTAAGTATGCATCCTTTTTTTTTTTTCTACATCATTACTCAAATATTCAGTCCATGGTATCCTCAGCATCCTTCTGAAGATCCACATATCTCTTGCATCAGTTCTTCACATCTATGAGGAGATTCCCCAGCATTCACTGCTACATAGTTGGCAGCTAGGTCTCATTATTTTATATTTGAAATTACTAGATGTAACCATACGTGCTATGCTAATATTTTCTTTTCTTGCACTTCTTGATTGTGGAGCTCCTTCCCAAATTCTTGTTTTCCAGTCAACTTTGACCTCTAAAATTTAATTGAAGTGTCATCATCATCATCATCTGTCTCTTTGAACCCTATTCCTTTTTTTTCCCTCTATTGTTAATGATTTTATTCAGATTCTTTTGCACTCAGTAACCCCTTACATTTTAGTGGCTTTATTGCCTTATATTATCAACCTGAATGT